ACACACACACACACACACACACACACACACAAACACACACACACACACACGTGTGTGACTGCAACAGAGAGAATCTGTCATAAATCTGAAAATTGTCATACATAAATGAAGGACTGGTACTAGAGCACATATGCAACATGGAACAAGCATGTTCACACACACACACACACACACACACAGGTGTCCGGGCCATTTTTTTGATTTTGGCTAATAAAATCAGACATAAATGCACAACAATTGCATAAAAGCTGCAAATGTCATTCTGTCAAGAGCAGGGAATGATTTTCTCCTCGTCTTTTGTTGATTATCATTATTGCCCACACTTAACTCAAGAGACGAGATGAGGTAAGATTTTTACACATTAAAAAAAAAAAAAGACCAAATATTTGGTCAATGGCCAAATACATGACTGGAAAAATAGTCTGCAGGTGCATTTTGAATTTTGTAACTAATCATATTGTAATAAATGTCATTCAGTTCTACTTTCTGAGTATGAATTATCATATGTAAAAGACAACAACACTCAAGCACTGTAAAAGGTTTTGCCACAAACCTAACTGGCTTCTCTCCTGCATGGTTTCATGTGAGTCTCTTCAGACCTTAGAACTGTAAATAAATTATGAGCTTCTAGAACGTTTGAACTCCTAACTAAACGCCTTTTTACAAATTGAACATATTATTATAGTATTAAGTGCAAACAATAAGTGCAGCCGTAATCAAAAGTAGGCTACTCTCTCAATATTCAAAGTGAGAGCTATACAGAGCTAAAGACAACTACACAACCTATTATAGCCTACATAATAAAAAACAGAAGAGTTCTGCATTTAAACACACACAATAGGTTCAGGGCTCGAAATGAACTTTTTTACTTGGTAGCACTGGTGCTCCCAACTTCAAAAAGTTAGGAGCACCAGCAAAAATTTAGGAGTACTTTAAAGCTTGCCGCAAAGCACTGGCAAAAGTAATTGTGTTGGGGGGAAATAGTAAGGAGATATTTGAATTATTTACTAATAAAGTAGTGTTTTCTGAGTCCGTGTCGCAAGGATAAAGTTGCCGATCCTGACTCGCCATCTCCTCATTGGACGCACCTTTAGAGAGAAATGCATTTTTATGGATTACATAATGAAAGAGATTTAGTTTTCGATTTGTTTTATTTCGTTAAGTAGTAATTTAAAGCTTTCTATAGATATATTTATCATGTCTGTGAGGCATGTATTCGCTGAGTTTCGGTTCATTTTTGTGAAGCGCTCCTGTTCAAGACCAAGACAGCAGAAAACGCATAATGTTTGTTTATTTTATAAAAGCACAACGTTTTGTTGATATTGTGAGTGCACACAAATAAAAGTAGACCCTTTACAGTTCCGAATGATTTATTACTCTTACCTTTATGAGCAAAAATGACAGCATATTTTAAGTTGTTTCCACTGAAAAAATGCAAGTGATCATGCCGGCACCTCTATGTCCTGCAAAGCACGATTTATTTTCCACACTCTGCACAAACTATTGGATATGCGCCTAATAGCGCACATTTATCTAGGTTTAACGTTTAAACTAACATTGTTATATGGTTGAACTGTTTTATATCTATAGATTTTATTTTAGGCAAGTTGTGATGATTTGAGAAGGCAAAACTATGATCAACTCACTGTCTGCCGCTGGCTGCTTGATCGTTACTTTAAAAAACAAAAACTTATAGGGGGAAACCGGGGATGATTGCAACACTTTTTGTTTGAGGGTCAGTAACTTAGTGGTTGTTCATGCTAGATCTCTCAAACTTTGATACATTGTAGCCACATTTGTCTACTACAAATAAAACTCACTTTAACTTGTACTTGTTAATGTCAAATACAAAGAGTTCCGTTGTTGCAACCTACCCCACTACTAGGGTGAGTTGTAACACTAGCTGGTGATAGATGTAACAATAAGAGGTAAATTGGTGAAATAATATCCACACTTTCCAGATTATGCAAGAACTTTATTGAAGAACAAAGTGAACAATTTAAACTAACAAAAATATTCTGGAACTTTTAACTTAAGACTATAACAAATTGCTGTGTGTGTGTTTTGTAGTTTGTTAAAACTTTCATCTTAACACTATATCAAATTTGTGTGTGTGTGTGTAGTGTAGTGTATTTCCTTTGGAACTTTAAACTTAAAACTATAACAAATTTCTGTGTGTGTGTGTGTGTGTGTAGTATATTAGTTTTGGAACTTTAAACTAAACACGGTGTGTGACCGATCTCGAATCTCCCTTTTCTGTCCAAGATACTAGAAAAGGTAGTATCCTCACAATTATATTCCTTCTTAGAGAAAAATGATATCTGTGAGGATTTCCAGTCAGGATTTAGACCGTATCATAGTACTGAGACTGCTCGCAATAGCGTTACAAATGACCTGCTCTTATCATCTGATCGTGGTTGTATCTCACTATTAATACTACTGGATCTTAGCATGGTTTTAAATCGTACTTATCTGACCGCCATCAATTCGTAGCAGTGAATAAAGAGGTGTCATATTAATCACAAGTGCAGTATGGAGTACCTCAAGACTCAGTACTAGGGCCGTTACTCTTCACGCTTTACATGTTACCCTTGGGAGATATCATCGGGAAACACGGTGTTAGCTTTCAATGTTATGCTGATGATACTCAGCTCTATATTTCTTCGCGGCCCGGAGAAACATACCAATTTGAAAAACAAACAGAATGCATCGTCGATATAAAAAACTGGATGACGAGTAATTTTTTGCAGCTAAATTCTGAAAAAACAGGTGTTCATTATCGGGCCTAAAACCTTTGCATATAATAACCTAGAACACTGTCTAAGACTTGATGGCTGCTCTGTCAATTCTTCGTCATCAGTTAGGAACCTAGGTGTGCTATTTGATAGCAATATTTCCTTTGAAATACACGTTTCTAGCATTTGTAAAACTGCATTTTTCCATCTCAAAAATATATCTAAATTACGACCTATGCTCTCAATGTCAAAGGCAGAAATGTTAATCCATGCGTTTATCACCTCAAGGTTAGATTATTGTAATGCTTTATTGGGTGGTTGCTCTGCACGCTTAATAAACAAACTCCAGCTGGTCCAAAAGGCAGCAGCTAGAGTTCTTACTAGAACCAGGAAGAATGACCATATTAGCCCGGTTCTGTCAACACTGCACTGGCTCCCTATTAAACATCGTATAGATTTTAAAATCTTGCTAATTACTTATAAAGCCCTGAATGGTTTAGCACCTCAGTATTTGAACGAGCTCTTGTTACATTATAGTCCTCCACGTCCGCTGCGTTCTCAAAACTCTGGCCATTTGATAATACCTAGAATATCAAAATCAACTGCAGGCGGCAGATCCTTTTCCTATTTAGCGCCCAAACGCTTTGACACAATCTGTATTGTTAAAAGCGCTATATAAATAAAGGTGACTTGACTTGTGTGTGTGTGTGTGTGTGTGTGTGATGCATTTCTTTTGGGACTTTAAACTTAACACTATAACAAATTGCAGTGTGTGTGT